AACATTCGTCAACGCACAGTTAGCAGGTCAGGATGTGTCCCATGCTGACTTGAGGATGTTGTTTGCGTGTTTCTGTGATTTGATTTGATGGGGTTGATAGAGAGTGATATGATGATACCCTTTTGTGTATCAAAGTGTAACTACGGCCACGACTACAACTACAACTACAAAAAGTTCAAGGGTTTGAGATGGTATCAGATGGAAGATTGAAAGAGTTTTGACATTGGGTTTGGGTTGATGTTGGAGCATTGCTTTCTTTCTTCTTTCTTTCCCCCTACCCCATCATCTCCTCTTCTTTCCTTCCTTTTCTGCACATATCAAGTACATCACTAAGTCCTCACACCATCCTTTCTCTTCTCTCTTCTACCAACACCCATCTCGCACCCATCGTGTACAGTTGCACCACCTACCATGGCCCATGGGAAAAGCTATTACTGCTAGCACAGGTACGAAGTGGTATTGTAACAGGTCTAACGTTGGTTTGCGCATTAGATTGGATTGGTTGGTATGGCTAAGCGGGGATTTCGCTATCCACCGGTTTGTGTTGTGGTTTTGTGATGGTTGTAGGTACCGGTATAGGTAGCTTTGCTTACCTTGGCATAGGTACCGGTACCGTACTTTTCGGCACGGTACGGTAGGAATACGGTATCAGCCACAAACTGCTGCCTGATCTAGTGCGGGTGGCATTTGGCAATCTCGCACCCCCGCTTTTTGGCTCGATGGGACGGGAGTGTCGAATCGTAGATGGAGAGGGGAGAGGGCTGAGGCTGGGTTGCAGGTGTGGTGGGCTGTGCTGACTGACTGCGGAAAAGGGTTGTGAGGCTGGTTTGTCTGCAGTCGAGGTCTTTTCTTTGCTCGCTTTTCCTCTGTTGGCTTTGTGCTCACTTCTAGGGTTCTTTTTTGCAGGGTTCAGCTCGTGTTCTTCAAGGTCTGGTTTGGGTTTGTCGCTGTTCTTTTGTACCGACGATACCTCGATCCACATTTCCTCGTTCTGATCTCCTCAGAGAAAGTCCTGGTTCGACGCGACTGCTTGATGAATCGCTGAAAGGATGAAAGACTGGATTGAAGACTTACGGAAACGGCTAGAGAAGGAAGACAACAGGGCGGATACCAAGGACCTACCCATCCATACATGCTCGTACTGTGATCGTCTTTTTGACATGACTTGGGAAGCCAGTCCCGGTCCCAATCCTACGGAGAAGCCGAGACTGCGCATTCAGCTCAGTGAGGAAGAGGAGTCTACGGAAACTCCGAGTTGGGAGTGTGGGTTTTACCAGCATGCGCCCCATGTATACCGGTATGCAAGGAGACATGGTCTTGAGACTGTTCTTCCATGTTATAAAGAATATCCCAATTCCATACTCCGCGTATCAACGTACAACGACACACGCTGCACCTTCTCCACCATTGCGTGTTATGCTGCTGGTCAGGGTAGGCTTCAGGCCCGGTCTCCAGAGAGCAAAAGAAAAATTCTAAAATCCAGTAGATGCCTTTGCCATCGGGCCAGATGACTGCCTGAAAACATTGCCGAATCTGAATCCGGCATCTACACGTGCCGTAAACTTTATGCACTCGGTTCTAAAGGATAGGCTTCGCTCAAAATTACAGCCCAGTGGGAAGATGCCACCCAAGAGGCTGCTCAGGCTGGATCCGTCTGGAAATACTATGCAGCTTATTGAAACGACGAGGGATGAAGAGTACAGCTATGGTACGCTGAGCTACTGCTGGGGAGGATTTCAGGCCATCATGACAACGCGGGAGACGATTGCGTCTCATAAACATGGTGTGCTCATTGATACCCTACCACGAACGATTCAGGATGCCGTATGGGTGACGACAGTGCTGAATCTGCAATACCTGTGGGTTGATGTCTTGTGTAAGCTCTTCCAACCTTGACACTACAGCCTCATCGATTGATAATGGGTAAACTCTCAGGTATAATACAAGACGACGAAGAAGACGTTGCACGCGAAATCGCCAATCAAGCCAACATCTACCGCGCATCGGCTTTTACCATCTTAGCTGGAGACTGTGCGCACGCTGACGCCGGCTTCTTGCATCCTCGTCCTAAGCCATCCATAGAATATCATATCTCGGTGCGCATGCCGGAAATGAATGATGCGGTGTCGAAGATTAGTGTTCAGTTTGAAAAGAAGCATCGCAAGGACCCGGTGGAAGAAAGAGGTTGGATTCTTCAGGAGTGCAAGCCAGCCCTCTGCCTCATGGGACGCATTATAGATGCTAACCTACCTAGTCCTACTCTCGCCATACGTCCTGTATTTTAGTAAAAGCCAGTTGGTAATTCACTGCCATGATCGCGTCTACGTCGACGGAGGCTACGACAACCACGCACTCAAGACGACTCACCTCCGCCGCAACTGGGACGCCCACACATCGACCATTGCCGACTCAGACAGCGACTGGCAACGCCTCGTTCAACCCTACAGCGGCATGCATCTCACCAAGTCATCCGACAAACTCCCCGCCATCTCCGCCCTCGCCGAGGCCTTTGGCCGCTGTTTCCTCGACCAAGACGAAATTGCAAAAAGCTACAAAGCCGGCATCTGGCTCCAACACATGCCCAACTGCCTGCTGTGGAAACGGCTAGGCCTCCGCATCCACAATCTACCTCACTATCGAGCACCGTCTTGGTCCTGGGCCTCAACCGACGACCTGGTCGAGTACGACGAGGAACTCCAGGGCGCTACGCACAGCGACGTCGAAATCCTGAGCTGCACAACCACTCCCACCTTTTCCAGCGCGCCCTTTGGCGAAGTAACAAGTGGCGAGTTGCGCCTGCGTGGCCCGGTCAAACCGCTGTCCCGCTACCGCATGGACATGTACTCCCCGCCCTTTACCCTGCACGACCTCGAAACCAGCGACACGTTTGCGATTGACTTTGTAGTCGAGCCCGAGTTTGTGGAGCCGCGGTTTGCGGCTGGGTCTGCGGGGTCCAGGGCTAATGTCCAGTTGTCGATGCTGCTCTGTGTGCGGAAACAGATCCCGACGAGTACGTTGTTGCTCGGTCTTGTGTTGGCGAGGAGGCGTGGTGAGAGCGGGTTTCGACGCGTGTCGACGTGGAGTCGGTGGTATGATGAGCGGGAAGATGGGGGACGGTGGTTGGCGGCGTTTGAGCGGGTAGAGGTTGGGATTGTGTAGGTTGGAGTGCGATGGAGCAGCAACTTGTATGCAGGCACTCAGGTATCCTTCTTATACAAGGACGAGCAAGTGTGCGAGTTGGTCTAGGCTAGGCTGTTGTCAAATTCAAATGTACAGGGAAATTGTCTGCCGGTAGACTTTACATGCCCTTGTACACCGATTCGTGCCGCACCGTTACCCACCGTACCCACCGAACCGCCCCAAATCCATAGATCTCTAGCCTACACTGCCACATAATACACTATAGTATTCAATCACCACATCCACTTTTCTAATTCAAACTGCTTCATGCTGTTCAATTTGTTTCATACTACTATCACACAATCTCCCTTCTTCGATTGTATTCCCTTTCTTGTTTTGGGTGCATGTCCTGGATTGGTAGTGTCGTGTGTGTACTATTATAATCATCAAACAGTATTGCCATCTATTGCCATTATTACTATTGCTAGTACCACGTTTGCAAACATTACACTAAGATTGCGTTGGTGCTAGATTGGAATAGATGTGGGCCTGGACTCGGACTTTAGGGCAATATACTTGTCCATCTACTATCTGCCATCTACACCACAGTGATACAGTCGCGGTGAACCCCTAACCCCCAACCCCAAGTTAACCCAGCCCCAATGCCCTCACAAGAACGGATTTCTCACCCCTGAACCTAGCTTGACCAAAACAAGTATCAACAGCTGACCTGAATGACCAAACAAAGCATCAACTATTAATCCTCAACCATTTTCATATTCCTATATTCCCATATTCCCATTTCCAATATTCATAACCATATTCATAAAGTCATAGTCTCATATCCTCATATCTCATATCTCATAATTTAGTATTTTGCACACAAAACACCACCAGACCAACACCAAGACCAGCAACAGACACAATCTCCACTGTATCAAACAGCTCACACCTCCTTCTCAACTTTTCCAAATTGAAAAAAAGAAAAAGGTTAACAAAGTAGCCGCCCAACCGCTCAAAGTGTGTTACAAGACTGGGTATCGTGTCCCTTGTCTCTCGTGCTTACTACCACTACTACACTACTACCAAAACAACGGAACAGCAACAGGTTGCAATGCGAGATAATCACACCACACTCACTACCGATTTACCTTTTCCCAGGCCCTGGTTGGATAGAAGCATCTCCCGCAGCCGCGTTTCCGCTTTTGTCAAGTCGTGATGGCCGTTCTCGCTTAGATCCGAGGGCCGAGGCCACGGGAGCCATGAGGATATAGTGGAGAGAGTTCTGGAGCGCCTCCCTGAGGCTGGTAGACTCATGGCAGACGGACCTCGTCGATGCGTCGAGTTTCTCGGTGGTACTGCTGTGCGAGGCCTGCTTTCGTCGGCGGCACTGGGCGCTGATGTTGTGTCGAGACTGAGCTGCTTGGATGGTGTGGGTGATGTGACGAGCGTGATGGCTGGTTGTGAGGATGACGAGGCAGAGGCGTTGACTGCCCACGCAGGGCCTTGCTTGGCATGTGCTCCTGCCCGCGAGGAACCACCGGCCTGAACGTCTCGGAAAGTGTCGCCGTCAAGCGCCTTTCTCTTTCCACTGCTACCGCTGATGACGCTCTTGAGACTGCCATACGCAGACTGGCTCCTCTTCTTACCGCTGTGAGTTTTGCTCTCTTGCGCCAACCTCTCGCTCGAGCTACTGGCTTCGGGTACAGCCATGAGCGTGTTGTCTGCCGCAGTCCAGCCCTGACTGACTCTGTTCAGGCGACCTCGCCCCACAAGAGCACCTGTGCTGGCCGCCCAACCTGGTCCTGTACTTGTGATCTCGCCTTGCGGAGGGAGGTGTGCATCATACTCGTCAGCCATGCTCAATCTACTGCGTGCACATATCTCGGCAATGGCATCAATGGCATCCCTAATCTCTGGATCGACGGCTCGCAAAATGGCTGAAAAAGAGAAGTCGTCAGTTGAGGGCAATTGCTCACTCCTGCCTGCCAGACCAGCTGACAGGGCAGAGACGTTGGCTTGGCCATTCATGGCAAAAGAGCGGGGGGTATTGAAGCCAGAGCCTGGACGGGAGGTGTGACGCGAGCCAGAGTAGGTGCGGACTACGACGGGCTGGCTCGTCACTGTCGTCTTGCTCGAGGTTGACTTGGCTGACTTGCTTTGGGAGGGTGAGGCGTGGAAGGCAGGTGCATTGAGGGCACGGAGGGCGGCCGACTGAGTGGGTGGCAGTGTGTTGGTCAGTGTCGTGGTCGTACTGGGGACTGAGCCTGTGCTTGCTGTTAGGTCAGAGGGCCCGCCTTGTGCCTCGAATGAAGGCGCGTGGGTGAAGACGGCAGGCACCGTGTCGTCGGACAGGACGGGCTGA